CTTGTTTAAAATTAAAGAAAAATAAAATACATTCATCAAGAATTCTAAGATACAACACTTAGTGATAGTCATAGGTTTACTAATAAGCAATCAAATTGTAATAGGGAAAATAAAACTATAAATTGTAAAAATACAAACAACATGGTTATAGTCATAAGTGAGAAGAGATAGGTACTAAGAAGGATGAGAAGAATAATAGTAATACAGTAATTTGACAGTATTGTGGGAATTAGTTGTTTAGCAAAGTGATGGCATGGGGAGAAAAACTGTCCTTGTGTCTAGTTGTTCTGGTGTACAGTGTCCTATAGGGTTGTTTTGAGGGTAGGAGTTGAAACCATTGATGTCCAGGATATGAGGGGTCTGTAGATATTTTCACAGTCCTCTTTTTGACTCGTGCAGTGGACAGGACCTCAAAGGAAGGCAGGTTGGTAGCCACTGTTTTTTCTGCAGATCTAACTATTTGTTGAAATCTGTGTCTGCCTTGTTGGGTTGCAGAGCCAAACCAGACAGTTACAGGGGTGCAGATGACGACTCAATCGTTCCTCTGTAAAAACATTGCAAATGCCCCTTCCTTAAAATCTGTGCCAGTGATTCTCAACATTGGCAACGTTAAAATACATGGACTTCAATTCCCAGAAGTCCCCAGACAGCTATGCCAATTTGAGAATCACTGATCTATACATTCCCACATCCATATAATAAGCCCCTGCCCTAAAATGCACTATATCCCCCTGTTCATTCCAAATAATTTCCTTCAAGTTAGAGGTGCCTGGGCTAAACCCACAATAACCCTCAATATATTTTGCAATTTTTTTACCCCCTTTAAAGTTTGTTTGATACTCTTCCGAAAAAAAACATCTTTAATAACCTCTCTTGCGCCCTTGTCTCTTTCAGTGATCTGTGCATGGAATGTGCCTTGCAACTAGAAACCTGCCCTTTGTGTCGGCAAGAAATTCAGACCCGCGTCCGACAGATTGCTCACATTTCATGACACGGGGAGAACGGTCTCTTGTGTGGATTTGCCTCCTCTCCATTCCATCCAGCGCCAGAAGAAAGGCAGCTCAAAACAAGCCCCTTCTCTGTCGTTCCCCCCCCAGGCCGAAGCCCAGCCTCATCTCCATAAGGACCACAGATGGGAAGCCTGTTAAATTGCTGCACCGTCTCATCCTCACGAGATGCTTTCTTTTAGCGGTCATATAAAGTTGGTGGCAAAAGCTGACTTACCATTTAATTTATCCCTCATTCAAGACTGTTAGGAAAGCCTTCTTCATTCCTTTCTCTGGTTAATTTTTTTTGCCTTTCCTTCTCAACTCCTTCCACTCACACACTGAAGACTTTGCACTGGAAACGTTTAATGCATAATCTCCTAAAACAGGGACATAGCTGTTTCCCAAAGCCTTTGTTTTGGCGGCCATTATGCATTTTTTTATTACTTTGTCACTGTAGCTTCCTGCTGGTCAGAGTACATCCCCTATATATATTTTGGACTGTTAGCATGGAAATGTTAAAGAGACTTGAAATCTACATGAAGAAACTAATTTCTGAGGAAAATTGGTTATTTTCATTCATAGTATTTCTAAATTCCTTCAGTTTCAGTACCTACAATTTTGTGAAAAAGAAAAAAAAATTAATTTTCAGGAGGAATTCTTATAAATGCAGCAACAGACTGGAGATAGTTTGATATTCTAGGTATTTTTAAGGTACCATTGATCATTGCTTTTTAAAAAAAAACCCAATCTGTTTTTGCAAGTTCTGTACATTTGAAAATAGTGATGTGTTAATATTGTTTTGAAGAAATACATGTTTGAATAGCAAATAGCTTGATTGGGTTAACTCCTATTTAAGACGATCCTAACTATTGTTTATATTATGGTGTTTGGCTCAGGCGACTTCTGTAAAACAGCTGCCTCAATCTTGCTCCAAGTTCCCCCTGGATTTCTGAAGAAGCAGAAGTTGTAAGATAATGCAAAGCCATATCAAAATGTTCATCCTGNAGAGTTTCTTCTGACAGATCTCTCACGACTTCTAGCCCTATTCTTTTATGCTTTGACCCCTAGAATAAGTGGGGAAATTTCGTTCAGTTATATCAGAACACATATGCCTGCATCATATTGAGATCCTCCTGATTATTAGGCTAATAATTGTGTAGGCAGAGCATGGCAGGTCTTTTACATTCTTAAGAAAAGATGCAATTAGCTTAAATACTGTTTTTAAATTTAAAAAAAAGGATTGGGGAAAAAAACTGTTGAAGTGGTTCTGTGTCAAATTCAGAGAATGAAATACTGTATTCTATATTTCCTGAAGGAAGGTTATGGTATCGGGGACGATGAATACTCCTGTGCTTATGACGGCTGCAGGCAGCTGATCTGGTATAATGCCCGAAGTAAACCACATTCCCACCCATGCTGGAAAGAAGGTATGCTATTGTCCCACTTGTTTTCTCATTGCTGAAGTTGTGTCACTATCCAGTTGGCCCTCGTTTGTTTTCTGTTATCCTAGAGTGTAGAGCGCAGCACAATGATCTAATTTCCAGCACTAGGAAAATCTTACCATGGGAGCAGATGGAACCAATTACAAATATCTGGCTTCCTTTTGCTCCAGGTGTTCAACCCGAAGGTGGGCAGCCATTTCTTGGGGGCAGGCTTAATTTGGATTGCTGCATCGAGCAAAGGAGTTGGGCTCAGTGGACCCTTCCTGTCTGTGATTCTAGCACAGAGACTTAAAAAAACGGAAGAAAAATGTCATGAAATAAGATTTTGGAACAATGGAGCAAGATACCTGCAGCTGCAGGAATCCCGCTCCCCAGTAATCTTTTTATGGGGATGTCTGTACACCTGTTTCCTGTGCTTATTATTAGTTCAGCGCTTCCGCAGTGATCTTGTGAGTTCAGGAGGCCTTCCTCCATGGAAACAGATTAAATTGCAAATACTGTAGCTAATTAGTAGGCTAATGTTTTGATAGGCAGAATAAAATCAATAGACAGCGTGTTGGATATTGGAAGATGGCAGTGTAGCAAGCCTGAATTTGTCATTCATTCATTTATGACACGGTTGAATATTGTGAACATCACACACTGATGAGGACCATACTTCTATTAATATGTCAAACCTATTAAGATATAAACATGTTAATTCATCTTGGGTAGAACTTTAGCAGCATCCCTCCCTATTGCAAACTGTAAATAGTTTGGTTTTAAAAAGAGAGCATGCTCATGTAATTTACTAAATCCTTTTTTTAATATGTTGAAATGCTTTTGATTAGAATGCTGCTAGTAACCCAACTAGTAAATCATAGTTGGCATTATCAGAAGCCAACTTCATAAATGGGTTGTTTCTTTTTCTCATATATGAATTTTTATCCCCCCTACCTACCACTATTTCTAGAATAATATCAACTCTAATGCTGACTTAGCTTTTATCTTAAGGATTTGAAGCAGATTTAGAAATCCTGGTTAAGATAACACCTGGTGCTGGCAGTTTTCTTGATTTTATTAGATGGAATAAATATGTTAAAAACTGCTAAAAGGAAGAAGATAGCATTTATTCCAAGATAGTGCCCCTGTTTGCAAGACTGGCTTTTAATTTGTAAATATACAGAGAACAGTCATTTGTCTTCTCCACATATCTGATTATTTATTGAAAGGTTTATACATAGGGATAGAAACACACACAAGTGGGAAAGATGGAATCACAAATCCATATAGAGTGGTTCTCAACTTGTGGGTCGGGACCCCTTTGGGGGTCGAATGATCCTTTCACAGGGGTCGCCTAAGACCATTGGAAAGCACATATTTTCGATGGTCTTAGGAACCGAGACACCAATTTTATGGTTGGGGGTCACCACAACATGTGGAACTGTATTAAAAAGTCACGGCATTGGGAAGGTTGAGAACCACTGATATAGAGTGTTTCAAGCCCCTTGTATAGTATGTATTGGGTGTTATAGGGAGCACAAATGTAACCCAGCTACTCAGTAGTTGTCAGATAAGACCCGAGCTCCCTATTCCTCTTTTGCAGGATACAATGATAGTGTCTTGGTGATTCCTGTGTTTCAATAGCTTGCTTTCTTATGTTAACTAAGGTGACACGATAGGATTTTTACTGGACTTGCAAGAGAAGAAGATGGTTTTTTATTTAAACGGGAACCAGCTTCCTGCTGAGAAGCAAGTCTTTTCATCAGCTATGTAAGTTCATTCTTCTGAGGGCGATGCCCATTTTGATGTCCATCTTTGCAGAATTAGCAATAAATATTTAGTAAAATAAGACTTGACCCTGGGGAAGCCCAGAACCTGAAGTACCCGAAGGAGCCAGCTGTACTGTTAATTCTGCAAAATAGAGTTGAGTGGTTTCTTTCTTGGTTACTAAGTGAAGCAGCAATTGACATTTAATCTCCAGTGTGGATTTATTGGTTTGTGTTTTAACTTAGCATGATGAGTAAATCCACTCATTTTGATTTAATACTGTATTGCACTATGGCTTGTATAATAAACCATGGTTTTTAAAATTCTCGGTTGTGAACACTAGTATGGCTTTGCTTTGGCCTTTTAAAATAGTTCTTTTATTTTCAAGCACAGCTGACCCAGTTCCTATGTTATTCTTTCCCTTCCTCCACCAGCCTATTTTCTTGGGGAGATCTTTGTTTTGTGTTTTCTGTGGCTGTTTTTCCCGTCCCTGTTGAGTTTTCTCGTAGCTTATTTTGCAGCTCCTTCCTTAATGGGATATAGCAATTTTGAATTCTAGTCCCTGCTGCTAAGAAAAGGACAGGAAATTGCTCAAAGTGACACATTAACAACAGTTGCAAAAGAAATAAAAAAATAAAAATTGGGTCAATCATGGGTGACCTGATTTTCGACAGTCACGATCGTGATGGACAGGCTCCAATACAATCATAAGTTGAAGACCTCCAGTTACAACCGTAATGGGGCCTGCCCATACACGACCATCACTTGTGATGATTGTACATCAGGTCACCCTTTTCTGGCTAGGGAATTCTGAGACTTGAAGTCCACACATCTTCAAGTTGCCTAAGTTGAGAAACATAGATGCAGAGAATGCCCATCAACACATGCTGATAAATATTACTCCTAGCCACAGAAGTCATCTGTGCCTTAAAAAATAAAAACAACACCTCCAGCTGTGAATGCTACTACCCTGATGACATTCCTTTTCTAAAGGAAGTGTTAGGGATGATGAAGGTTGTAGTCCAGGATTTTGAGAGCCATAAAAGACACACAGCCATTGGCTGTGTGTCGTGGGTGTTTCCCAGCCTCTCACTATGAAGAACTAACTCTGATAGGTAGCTTGTATCATAGCACTAATTTTTGTTTTTCATCCTTTATTGCACAGTTCCGGCTTCTTTGCTGCAGCTAGTTTCATGTCCTATCAACAGTGTGAGTTCAATTTTGGAGCAAGGCCTTTCAAATATCCTCCCTCTGCAAAATTTAACACCTTTAACGATTACGCGTTTCTGACAGCAGAAGAGAAAATCATTTTACCAAGGTAATGTGCATGGATCTGGAAAGCTGGGGTGCATTTTTGTTCTTTGCATCTTCCCTTTATTTGCAGATAGTAAATGATTGCCTTCCTTGGGTGAGGAATTAATGCCTTGCTTACATTAGTAAGCAATACATTAACTCCTCATCCAAGGAAAACATTAGTGCGAATATGAACGCCACGTCAGTTGTGTGTCTGTTTTTCACCACCTCCTATTTAATCTTCAGACATAGACGCCTGGCCTTGTTAAAGCAAGTGAGCATCCGAGAAAATTGCTGTACGCTTTGCTGCGATGAAATAGCTGACACAGAACTCAGGCCTTGTGGACACAGGTATTTTGAGAAACAGTGACTTTTGATTGATGTTTCTTGTAATTTTACACACACACACACACACACACACACACACACACACACTCCATTACCCTTGGCAGTGTAGACATGTGCAGGTCTGATCGAGATATACAAATATTTGCCTGAAAATAAGATCAGGTCTTATATTAATTTTTGCTACAAAAGACGCATTAGTGCTTTCCAGTTAGGTCTTATTTTGGGGGAA